CCATGCAGCTCTGTCAGCTGAGTTAGTGTTGATGAAGATTGCAGGACCCTCAGCAGCCAGTGCTCTGTATGTTCACAGTGGTGGCAAATGTTGTTGAGTTCTTCAGCGACAACGGCTGCTAAGGTCTTCCCATTCTCTTTTTCTTTCACCAGGGAAGCTGTGGCTGAGGAGATCCCTCTTGGCACTGGGTCTGGCTTCCAGACCCTTTTGCAGTGATGGTGGCACTGGCATCTGATGAGTGCCACCCATGGAGCAGCCATGGAGCTTAATCTTGAAGCATGGGCACATATGCAGGGATTACAGCTCTGGGGGCTGGGGCAGTAATGACACTGGTGACCAGGGGACAGGCATGGTGGGAAGAGAAGGAAAAACAGTCACCTGTATTTCTCAAAGCCTGACCATATGATTCTGACATTATCCTGACAGCTTTTCATGGGCCTCCCTTATCATATTTCAATAACAATCGGTATCTCTAACCCACTGACTTTCACATACATTCAACAGCTATTCATTTCTTTATCATTTTTTTAAAACTTCACCAAGCTACATTCTTAGAATTCCAAGCCTTCTTAAAACATGACACACCCTAAACTCTGTCCTCCTCGCACCAAATGACCTGTCGAAACCCACTTGGGGTCAAGGCCGACCTCTCCCTCATGTGCAGTCAGAGAAGAAAACACCCATGGAATGTGCTGACCACAGGTGAAGTCCTTCAAGAAAAAAATAGATTAATCTAGGCTAGCTCTCCATCCTTCAACTCCAGGACACTTGTGGATGAGAAATTGTGAATCAGAAATGTCATCCAAACCGCAGACTCAGTGATGCCATTGAGTTCTTATCAGTGGGATATAGGTTTCCAGTTGGTTTTATTCAGTGGTCATGAATTTGTGCTGCCCCAGCCACACTTCTGTCATTTGAGTAACCAGAGGAACAAGTTAACACAGCAAAATAAACTGGGGCCTGTGAGGGAATCCCATTGGTGACTATGGTCCTTGGAGTGGGTTAAGGGGGTTCATGTTCCCCAACCAAGCCGGTAAGTGAACCCTGACAGCCATTCTTGGCGTGTCTACTGTTAGAGCCATTTCAGTAAGCTCCATCCCTTCATGGAAACTATTTCTTTCCCCCCTTGTTGTTTTCTAGACCTTTTCCTCCCTTCCTCCCCCATCTAGTCTGAGCTTCTTGGTATATCTGCAGCCCAGATACTTCTCCAGTCTTCATAGACCCCAGGACTGACCCAAAGTTACAGTAGAGAAATCAGTGGAGATGCTAAACGGTCAGCCCTGAAGAAAATACTAGTAATTGCTTCCTGCAAACTGGACAGTTGGTAGTATCCATGACATTCCTGAAGTCTCCTGTGGTCATCCACAAGGCCAAACCCAGGGGAGCATTTCCAATCCTCTCACAGAACAGACTCCAAGGTCAAGAGATACCACAATGCCTGAATAATGGGCTTATTAATGATAATATATTCTCAGTAATTTATTTCTTTCCCAGAATGGTGGAAAAAATATCTAGGTTATGGCTGGTATTTTTAGAATATCACATTTGAACATTCATATAATTAAATTTTTGAAGTCTATAAAATATGTTATCAATTTCAGATAGCTCATATTTAGATCATATTGGCCATAGATTATTTTTGCAATCTGAGTCTGTTTTATTCCTTCCCAATTCTCTTCTAATCCATGCCCTTCTGACCCCACCCTAAGCCACTTCCTGAGGCTGGACATATGTGATAGTTTTTGAAATTACATTTGATTTTGGCTTTGACATTATTCTGTTCTTTCAGAGTCAGGCAGCATGTTGCATTGAATAGATTCCTGTCAGGGATACCAAATACCAAGATTTCAGTGCAACTACCATTATCAGATGTAGAATTTTAAGTCAATCACAAAGGTGCCTCCAGTTTTTTCAAGTGTAAAATGGGGGCTTAGAATAGACTGTTTCTAAAGTTCTTCCTTCCCTCTTTAACATTCTTGACTATAATTTCAGCATTTGTAATTAAAACTGCTTTAAGTAGCTTACGGACACTGCTATAGTCTTTACGAAGTGAAAGAAGTACCATGCCATAAAGGAACATTCAACATTACCCTGAAACACAAATTGAGAATGGTGGAACACTGTATAAACTTGATTTGTTTGTAATTTTAAACCCGGATATATTATTTTTGTTTTAACTGGAACAGTTCCGTCATTTAAATGTGAATTTGAAACATTCAAAACAATTAGGTACTGCAATGTCATAAACTGCATTTTTACTATAATCTTATAAAGTGATTTTCAAGAGGGGACTTCCTGCTGCAGAGAATTTCTAGATCCATATTTGTATCCTTTAGCCATGACTTAGACTCCACATAGATCTAGGGGAGTCTGTGCATTGTTTGGCTGGGTAAGCATTGTTTTGGGAAGAAAACAGCCACATGGAGTGAGAATAAGATTTTCCACTCAACTTTGTTCCTAATCACTGACAAAGACATTGTGTGAGGTTACCATTGTTTTAATTTCTAAATATTTGTTCATAATGAAATCTTAGTTTCTTATCCTTCTCCTACTATGCTTTCTCATATTTGTTCACTCATTCTTCTTGCAATATTGCAAAAATTTTGTTATTATAAGTTAGCTGAACAAAGACTACATAAGGTTCAGTATTTGGAAATGGCAGATGTCTAGTCAGTATTTAGGGCTTAAATACTTAAATAAATGTAAGCAAGCATCTAATTGGCATAAATGACTGAGAAACAGCTTAAGAGCATCACAACAGAAATGTTCTGTTGTTATGGTGTTTGTTCTTATGGTGTTTGTTCTTATGGTGATATAGCACCTTTTGTATTTTCCGGGATAGAACTGGAACCCATTCTACTAAGTAAAGTATCTCAAGAATGGAAAAACAAGCACCATGTGTACTCACCAGCAAATTGGTATTAACGGATCAACACCTAAGTGGACGTATAGGAATAACATTTATCGGGTGTCAGGTGGGTGGGAGGGGGGAGGAGGGGATGGCTATATACAAACATAATTAGTGAGATGTGCGTTTGGGGGATGGTCACACTTGAAGATCTGACTCGTATATTGCATGGGCAATAACCTTAACATCCCATAATATGCTGAAATAATAAAAAAAAGAAAAAAGAGAAATGTTTGTTCTTTTAATAAAAGGACACTGTCATAATAAGAGAGTGAAAGCTTTAAGTAATCAGCAACTATCACATAAAAAATGTTATAGTTGATGTGGAGAAAATGACAGACTAGGAGCAGACTGCACATACCACTGTCAAAGAGATGATCAAAAGTTGCAGGCAGATGCCTCTGACAGGCTTGGAGTCCAGTGAGAAGGGTAGGGGGAGCGTTTTGTTTCTCTGTCTCTCACATCTCTGTCAGTTGATAAGTTCCCGAGCTGCTGGAGAAACTTTCTGCCCACATGAGCCAGGGGCTGCTGTTGCCAGCAGGCAGGGAACTTCTTGTGGACAGGGTACCAGGCTCCCAGTCCCCCTGGGGCACTTCCCACCCCCTTATCCAGAGGAGGGCAAGTGGCAATATCTTAACCCACTTTACATGGGTTTCCTGTATCAATTCCAGGATGGATGCAATTTGTATTCTAGGTGTAGGGCTTTGTTTGCTCGCTGGGTTACCTCTGCTACAAAGGATGATAAGCTAATACAAGTTTACAAATCCATTTGATTGCAGGTTCCATAAGTCCCCTGCTAAGCTTCTATAGAACAGAGCAGGAGAGCCCTTTTAAACCCACGAGGCAACACAGTCCCAGGATCCTGCCATTTAAACGTAACTGAGTACCATTCAAGTTCCTCAGCTGCTTACCTGCACTGCCTCACTGCTGCCTGGCCCCTCCTCCACTGCCCCCTGTATGGCGGGGTGTGACTGGTGCTGTAGTTGGGACTACAGAAAGGGGAAGGGGCCCCCCACCAGACTGCTTCTCACCACACAGGTTGGCACCAATCATATCTCCACTGTCAATTTTTCCCAGGGCTCTTGTGGGGATATGTGGAAGCAGGGGGGTCTGGCCCCTTCCTTCGCCACCATCTGAGTCCTGGACTTAAAAAACAATTTCTCTCCTAAGGGCTTCTTGCTACCTGGAGGCTTTTGTAACTTCTGGGCAATGGTCCTTATTCTTTACAAAAAGTCAGTCTGGGGTAGCTTTTTTACCCATTCCTTTTGATTTTCTCAAAACAAACAAACAAAAAACCAAACAGAAGAAGAAGACTGGCTCATTCATCAATCACCATTCAGGTCTCAGCTCAAATGTCATCTCTGCAGAGAAGCAGTCCCAGACTTAAAATAGCCCCACCTCATCCTCCCATTTTCTTATCATCCTGTTTCATTTCCACTGAAGCATGTGTCCCCATTAGAAATCATCTTTTATCTCTGTGTTGATTTGTTGCCCTCCTAATTCTCCCACCCGTCACTAGAACACAGTCTTCTGCCCAGGATGCAAGGTCTTGTCTACTTATTCACTAATGTAGCTCTACTGCCTACAACAGTGCCTGGTACATACCAAATATCAATAACTATCTTTGGAATGGGTGTATTATATGTAGGGTTTACATCTGGAGGAATAGGTATACATAGCAGTATTTTATGAATAGATGTCCCAGTGAGTCTAAATATTAATAAAAAGGTGGGCATCCTAATCAATCTCCTTTTCCTTCTCAACTCTCTAGCAACTATGCCCTGAGTCATTATTTGGATGTTGTTATCTTTTCTCTTTTATAGCTGTTCTGTGCATGAGTTTAGGGCTAACCTTGTCAAGGTCTTTTAGGGCACAGACACTGGAGCCCAATTATCTAGGTTCAAATCCATGCCCTGGCCAAGTTTGTCACAGTGCCAGTTATAGTAAGTGCAATACACATGTTAGTCATTAATATTGTTTTCTGTCATGTGGGGATAGGACACCATTGACAAATCCAAACAATAGGAGAATCTGTAGAAATAGAATGTGATACAGAAAGTATGTGCAACAGAGAAGTGAAAGCAGCTTGAAATTTGCTTCCAGGAATTCAAAACAATAGAATTTATTAATTTTTACCCTCAGATATTTATAATGCACGCATACATAGGAAATGTGAAAGTTATTTCGAGTACCTCCATGATTTTGTGTTACATGTTATAAATTGTATTTTAAAGGATCTCAACAAAACTCATCTTGCATTTTAATATTTTAAAATAAAATCCATTATATCAAAATTTTGAGCAATTAAAAAATTGTAAAAACCATGATTCAAGCCAATAATTTTGTGCTTAGAGATCTGGTGGGTAAACATGATTTCATTTTTCTATGAAGAATTTGCTCTGTTCTCTTCTGGCTTTTTCAAGGCTTTCAAAAGTGATCATTCCTTTTGGCAGCTGCAACTTACTCTTTTCTGTTTCTAGTATGTCCTCAGCTTCACCTTAAATAAAGTATAGAAATACACAAGGTGACAAAGGCATCATCAATATTTTGCGATTCTTGCTTTCCGATTGCTATATTCCTATGACAAGCTGTAACACTGTATGAGCTATGTCCCCAAATCTCACAGTTAAACTTTTCACCCATTTTCCTCAGGAGAAGTAATACACTTCCCAAAAGAAACACAGGAATTAATTCTGAAAACTCATAGACAAATAAGATGCTAGATATTTTTATTTTTTGACAAAAGACGGTATTTTGAAATATAAAAGAGAAAGAACAGTAAGACAAGTATTTTTTTTCCTTCAACCAGAATCAGGATAATTAGTATTAATTGTGTTTGGAGGGTCTTGGGATGGAGAAATCACATATAATCTTTTCTATTGCCCTTTAATATATAAGTGGCAAGAGAAAAAATAAACTTTACTTAAAAATTCTTTTTTCAGAAAAGCTATCTTTGACCTGACGTCACTTATAAATACCTGAAATAATATTGTTCTTTAGTCTGTATACATACATAACACACATATACACATTTTTATAAATAATCCCTCTCTCAAACAACAGCTACACACTGCAGTAATTTCTTGGGCCCACTGACATTTGCCAGTTTTTATTGTTGAAGACTAACTAAAAAATCTTTTTAAATTGTATTAAAATATACATTATTTACATTTCATAAACCTGCTTTTGCAATGAAGGGCAATACTTTCTGTAAGTACTCCTCTTTTAACACACTATTCATTGTACTCCAAATCCAACAAAGCAGACCACAATTTTCAAGTTATACGAGCATTTATTTCATCATCTGCAAACATCTTCCTTTGCCTTATTCTTAAATGGCAAGTAAAAATAATTATAAAATTATATACAATTAGGTTGGCAATTAATGACAGACTAGATGTTTTCCTTGTGAGAGTGGTTTCCAGATGGTAAGTTCTCAGTACGAGTTTACAGAATGGCTGATGATACATTCAGTCAAATAGGGATTATATATTTGGGGTTATCACTATTAATAGGCAAAACCCAATAACCTAAACTTTCTAATGTGGTCAGTTTTCTGATGGATTCTAGGTTTGGGGAGTTTTGTTTGTTTGTGTTTACAGGAAATCCCCACAGAAATAACTTCTGTGGCAATAACGCCATATTCTAGGGCAACAAATACCAGGATTCTATGAGAGCAGTGGTATGCTAGTGAATATTTAACAACCAGCTCTCTGGAAAAAAATGTATATAAGATTATTATGCATATAAGTTTATTATAAATTTTAATTAAATATATATCATAATAAAATGTACAATGCTCTTAATCACAAATTCCATATAGCAAATTGATTCTCACAGAAAGCTTTCATTGATTTTTGCAGAACTCTTGAAACCAGAGTCAATCCATGTTACAGTTGATGAGAAAGTATAATTCCAACATGGATAGTGGTTGGTGTTTTCATTTACATTCACAAGTAGGACAAAATGAAATAATGATGACATATGTTGGAACTTTACTCATTTGAAAATGATGTGAACAACTTCTTTGCTGAATCATATAATAGCTCTTAAATATTGGAAGAATATTTCCTCAATTTGTTATGCTATTCACAATATAATGGCTATAGACAAAACATATTTTTAAGCTTAATTTGCATTATTGTACCTTCTTCATCAATTTTTTAAGTCAAGATCATAGGTTGGCAAACTTTCTTAAAGGGCCAGACAATAAATATTATAGCTTGTGTACTCACATGTTTCTGTTTCAATGACTCAGCTCTGTCATGGTAATGGGAAAGCAGCCACAGACAATACATAAATGTATTGGCATGGATATATTTAAATAAAAATTTGTTTTCTAAAACAGGTGGCCTGTCTATAGGTCATTGTTTGCCAACCCCTGGTCTAGACAATCAACAAAACAAGAAGTCAAGCCCTGATTTGGCAGTCGTAGATTTCCAGTGTATATATACTTCGATCATGACCACCTTCAGGCCACCAATGGGGTGTCACTGAAGTCAGAGTGTAGCTGTATTTTCTTGTGTCTGTATATTATATCTGCATTTCTATTATACAGACAAAACTGATAAATGATCTAAGAGTAAGAATAATAGCAAATAATTAGAAACAGATGAGTTCTGAGTATTTATTATCTTTGGTTTTAACAGAATTTAATATTATTTACTTACTATAACTTATTTAATTACAAGTTTATATAATTTTAAGTTTTAATAAATTAAATGACTGTGTTTAACAACCAGTTTACATAATCTCTGAAAATGTAACAATTGGTTCTTGTGAGCTGGTATGACTGGTCCTAGCATACCACTGTGAGAGGGCAGAAATGTTGGTCATTGGAGATTCAGTGAGAGGGCCTGGTCCTAAGGAGGAGATCCTTGAACCAGAAAACAAATCAGGAAATAGAAACTCTGGTTTATCAAAGCCTTACCTTTCATTCTTTGTAGAAGGGTTCCATACCCCAAGTCATACTGGTAGGCGAGAACAAAGCTTAATGGAACAATAGGGAACAGGAAGCCTGGCTTTTTACTTTTTATCGCTCTGTTTCAAGGGGGAAAAAAAAACCCAACATCAAGAAATAACCTGTAAACACATATCTCTATATTTTCAGAAAAAAAAAGTTTACCTGCTTTTTTTGAAGAATCTCCTTGATTTCAGAAGTTCTATAATTCATTTGATTCTTCTATGGAAATAAGATTCCCTTACCTAATATCCCTCACCAGATTCTGCAGTTTTCAAGGGCAAAGTCTATGACTTGCTCAACTTTATTTGACTTTGAAGTTCAGAGCCCTTGTGTTTAAAATGAGTAAGGACTAGTGTCTACCACTTAGGGATTGTGGAGATAAACTTGTAGAGGCCTCTGTCTTGGTGTCAAGTCAGTCCTCTAACTTATGAAGTAGAGAAAAAGGCAGAAGAAATCTAAGAAAGTAAAGGCAGAATTCACTTCTACTACCCTGGTTCTGCAGAGTTATTACCCCCAAGGACTAAAGCAACAAGAGGCTACTTTTCCAAATATATTATTTAGACCAAAGTCCTACCTTGGCCAACTTAATAATATTATGGCAATAGAAAAGATAAACAGAAGTAAATTATTTAAGAAAAGTTTAAAGTAAACAGCAAACATACCCAGCTGTTAAAGAGATGGCTGTAATGCCAAAAAATGTTCCAAAATATTTCATGAATTCCCGAGACCAAGCAATCTGCATGGCCATTTGTCTTTCCCTCATTTCATTCTGCATCGTTAGCTGCCTTTCCAGCTGAGGACAAAAAAGAAAGACAAAGTATGGTTACTCATCTTTTGAATTTGAACAAAGAGTTAACAATCTGATCTTTCAGTGGCTTTTTATTCTCCAATTCTTGAATTCATCTTTTTTGTTAAAAAAAAAAATCTTTATAGATTTTGACTAAAGTCCCCTTCGACAGCTATTGCTAAGTGTCACCTCGGCAGTGAAATCTCCCTAGAATACATACAGAATAGATACCAATATTTTATTTCTACATCCTGAGGTCTTGACTACATGTGGTCTGGAGCTGTAGCCAAGCCCCAAAGATATGCCCAGCTTTTTCTATTACATGTGAAGAAAGATCTATGAGTCTTTACATGCAGATGTATCATATCAGCCTTTATTACTACCACTTGCATGGAAATCTGCCTTTCAAATCTATCCCATTCCAAATTGAAATTTATGTGGAGTATCAGGTCCATATCACACCATGATATGCATAGGAGAAGGGGGTTATTTCAAGACATCAATAAATATTTTTATTTGTCACATTTTTCTTTTTGCTTCAAGTCCTTCACCATTTTGGTAAGTGCCTTTCACTGCTTTGGAACTGAAGGCAGAACATAGCCCAGAATGCAAGAGGAGACTGAATTTCTGAATGGATTTGTAGAAAGTACACAGGAGAAGCAATAGTCTGAAGCGCCAAGCCATTATTTGAAGAGAGTCAGATTCTTGATAGAGAAAAGAAGGCTTTTTTTTTAAATTCTAAAATCTTAGCACTACATATCATTAGCAAAGCTAGATGCAAACCTTAAGGTGGAGGAAAATGTAATAATGTGACTGAGTTTTTGCTCCATGTCCTCTTTCTACTGGGGGAGCCAGCCTGGAATATGGTCAAATACCCACAGAGCAAGTCGCCTGGCACTGCCCGGGCTGATCAAACAAAAACAACAGCAGACAAGCCTCCTCCAGCCAGATGAGGTCTTCCCTAATGCCAATGCCACTTGAGATCACCTGGACCCAACCTAGATTATTCCAGGGAGAAAATGAACAGAGAAAGGGAGGGAGAAAGCTGAATTGAACCATTTACTCCCAAAGAAGTGAGTTTTAAATTAGAAGAAATAATTAAGTAACTTTGACCTGTCAAAATCAAATTTGCTACCACCAGTAGAAATTGAGGTTCATTTTGAATTCAGTTAGAGAGTAAAAACTAAATTGTGTTCTGCATACATGATTATTTAATGTGTGAAATTTATCCTTTTCATCCTTGCTACATTAATTATTCACAAATTTATATGATAATTAATAATATCTCCCCCAAGGTGATGTAAATGCAGCAATTAATCACTTGTGTTTTAATCAAAAGTCAGCTGGATCCAAACAAGAAAGAGAGCAGCCCAGGATCAGTGGTTCTAAACCTTTGCTGCACACTGTGAGCATCTGGGGACCTTCTCAAAGTCCCAGTACCCAGACCCACATCCCAAACTGATTAAACCAGGTGGGACCAATTAAATCAGGAGCTGGAATTAGGATCAGGCATCAGTATTTTTTAGTTTCCCAGGTAGTTCCAGTGTGCCGCTGCGACTTAGAACCACTGCCTGAGATGAAAGAACTCACAGTCTAGCTTCTTCGGACCAAAGATTAAGCTGAGGCATTAGTCTGAAAGGGATCCCCTGCGAACTCTCAAAATATCGTGAGCAGAGGGGATTTAAGGGTGGTGGAACTAATCTGTCTGGTATTGTTGTGGTGGATATATGACAATTGGCATTTGTCAAACCCACAGCATTTTACAGCACAGAGTGAATCTTAATCTATACAAACTTCATAAATCAGCCAAGAGGAGAGGGGATGCACAAGATGGAATGGGGACTGTGACAAAATAATCTGATTGTGTTACAAATGTATGACACCTCACTGAGTGGGAGGGGAAAGGAGCTAACCTAACTAACTTTTGAAAGTAGTATTTTGACTGAAAACTGCAAAGGTAAAGACAGAAAGAACCATACATAAACACTGTACTCTAGTTGATAAAGATACTTCTCACAAGGTATGGATTAACAATTCTGAACTTCCTTTATATGTCCACTGGAGATGAACAAACAAGTAAATTGGTGCCAGATGGTGAGATCAGGGTTCTTACCATTAGAGAGGGAAATTAGAAAGAAGCAAGGGGAAAAGACTAGAATGAACCCTGTGGTACTGGAAGAGAGCCAGCGATATCAGTGTGAACTCATGTTTAGCTTAATAGAGATACAGATGGACAAAGATAAAATATAGACATGCACATATGTACATACCTCTATGCGTGCATGCATGGGTTAGTGTAAGTACACATATTTCCTAGCTCTTTCCACTGAGAGGGTGTAGAGACAATGACAATCTCTTGCAAAGAAGCACAGTCAACACCCAGACCGTGGTTTCTACTCTCCAATAAAAGAAAACAGGGCTCCTTGGACTGACCTAGCACTGGGGCAATAAATATACCAGATGGGCCTAGAGCATCTTGTAGTGCCAGAAAGTCAACAAATGCTAAAAAAAAAAAAATGGAGTATGTCAAAGGGACACAGGAGCCAACACAAAAGAGCTCCCAATGGCTAAAGGTGGAAAAATTTGATCAGCAAAATAAATAATATAGTATTGGATTATAACCGAAGTTCAAAATGAATATCCATGAGTCCACATTAAGATAAATCGAGACGAGACAAATATCCTATACAGAAATGTCCAAATCATTTATGTAGATGCTCCTCCTCTCCCTTCAAAGAGGTGGAGGTTAACTCCCTCCCCTTAATCTTGGACTTTGCTTGTTCGCTTGCTTCCACTCAGTAGAGTATGGAAGGGCAGGGGAGAGGAGGTAAGCTAAAGAGACAAGAAGACTAAATGTAATGTGTCCTCCTGGGTGGGATTCTGGGACAGAAATAGAACATTAGAGACAAACTAATGAAAGCTAAACATAAAATTTATTTAATTGTAATGGACCAAAGTTAGTTTCTTAGTTGTGACAAATGTACCATAGTAATAACATATAAGATATTAACAGTAGAGTACCCTAAGTATAGGGTATTTGGGAACTCTATGCCTTTTCTGTAAATCTAAAACTACTTGCAAATTTAAACTTATTTTAAATACTAGTTATGAAAAGATCTTATATTCTGGATCTCTGCTCTCCTACTGATAACAATAAAGGCAATTATAAATATGTATAAATACATCACAGATAAGTTGTGAACATCAGCAAGATTGTATATCCACAATAAACTCTGAACCTAGAGTTAAAAAAAATCCATGCAGACCCTTTCCATGAGCAAAAAATCCTGATGAAGAATATCATTGATTTATAATGTTAATTATGAATGAAAATTGCATTGATTACCCCATATTTCATAAGATTATGTTTAAAGTCACAGGTCTACAAATCCATATACATTTTTAAAATCAAGTTAACAAACTTGACCACCAAACTTTTCAATAGCCATAAAAGGATAATTCTATTAATGCAATTATTAAGTTACTGATAATTGGTGTCCTTTAATTACATATACATTTGTTTTCAACCTTCTTTCCCAAATACTGACACTAATAACAAATAAAAGCAAAATAGAACATTCATAGTAAGTTCTCTCAACAATTTTTAAACCAAATCCTAAATACAAAATTCTTTATCCTTTTTAAAAATAATTTTAGGCATTTTTATAATAATAATTTCCTTATCTTTGTTTCTTTTGATACTGCCTTAGAGAATAATTTGAAATTAAAATGTTCTTGATTAAAACTTCATACTCTGAGGAACTTTCAGGCTTATCTGATGCTGGTTTAACAATTAGAGAACCACAGTTCACTTTAAAGAGAGCATAATAAAAGGGAACTAGCTTACTAGAAGCAATTGTACATAGCTGGAGTAATCACATTCTAACCACTTTCATGAAACTGTTACAGCTACTTTTTCCTGTGTATTTTCATTTCTCAATTTCTTTGTTTAAAAAATATTAAACCACAAAAAATAAAAATATTAAGCCACAAAATAACTGACCTCAGTTATTTGTCAATCTCTTGAGTTTCCAAAGGGACAATTATGTAAAGTTCACTGACCATTTAATATAATTTGCCCCTTAATACAATACTAAAATGAATAAATTTCATTTGGACACATAAAACATTTGCATAGAACAAAGTCAGTGACACTGTCCTATGAATTATCCTTATTGTAGTTTTAATCTCATTTTAATAGGAGCCTTCCCTAGTTTTGTGAAACAATTAGGCTAACCCTGAGAAAAATATCAGTTTTAGTTTCAAATGGTCTTTTGAGTTATGCATAATATAGTCACATGTGATAAAAAAAGTTTTGTTTTTATTTGCTTAATTGAACAATGCCAAAAATTACTCTACATGTCCTGCCACAAAAGAGGTTTTATCAGAAAAGAGAATATTTTATATGTATCTATGCTTTTGTTAAATTAATAGAGACATTATTAATACCTTCTAAACCAAAAGCAAAATTCAATGGCTCAGGTAAAAACAAAATGTAAACTAACAGCAGCTGTAATGAAAGTTGTGGCAAGTGGCATTTAACTTTAACTTGTTCTACAGATATTTTAAATATTCAATATCTATTAAGTAGTTTTAGAAGACTCTGGATGAGGAAATGAGTAGTAAATTGAAGCTTTTTCTTTTAAAAGGCCATTTTTTAATCAATGACTTATAAAAATAATCAAATATGAACAAAATTGCAGTATTATTCAGAGGTGCAAAAGCTTTGATGACAGCATCTTGTTACATATCTTCCAATAAAGATTACAACATAATTTTATCCATTCTTACTCTCAGATGTAAACATCTTATTATAAACAATAAGTTTGCCATAAGCAAAAATGAGATTTTCAGTTTGGCAAAAACCCTGTATATTAAGTTATAGGTTTCAAAATATTTAGACTTTTCCCAAAAAGATCAAAAGTTGCTAACAAATTGAGCAGCCTGGGAAAGAAACAACAAAAGATCATGAGCTTCTCAACTATTATCTAAAATTTCTTAAAGCC